CATTTCACCTTTGGTCTTTGGTAAATAAAACATGCCAAATAGTTCTATTGATTCTGAGGCTAGTCTACTTTGCATTCAGAATGCCTTCATAAAGTTCTGGCAATACAATTGTGGAGGAAATTATGTACTTGTCTGCTAATCCGTCAAATGGCCTTTACCAAAGCTACTTAAATATGTTGCGAAATGATTAAGCAAAAAACATGAAGCAAGTTGGTTGCTGCCATTTCATTTCCGAAGCTTTCCAAGCATCACGAGAAGAACAACATAGAGCTTCCTCTGCCACCATAGTTGCAAAGCAGGATTTCCATACAATAACTGGTTTCTGTCCCCCAGGGTTGAACAAAACCCAGAGTACAGAGGTTGGTTTCCCTCTCTGACTTTAGTATAAAATGATTCAGCTAAGGCTTTGCTGGGGATTCATCCCTGCACCACTGAGACTGCTTGTTTTTATAACTATGGTTTGGATATGGAACACTTTCTCACTAACTAATTCTGGTTATTCATAAAGTGTGAGAATTATATACCAAGGGCAATCTCCAGACATTTTACACAGCAGACATGCCTTAACGTTTAGCAAAAATCCACAAGCTTCCTCATTGTATCTTTTTTTTCTCTGTCTTTAGCTCGCAGTCTTCTTATTTATCTAGTACTCAGTTTTCATATAATCTTGTCGTGACATGGCCATTATTGCTGTCATTTATAAAATATTTTATATGCCTCCATTTATGGGGAACTGGGGGCTGTATGTTGGTGCAATGTAATTTGCACCATGTAGCATAGGAAATCGTGATGTCTGTGATGAGCAGTGGTATGAAACAAAACGACCACTTCTGCTTCCCTCTGCACAGGAAGAGTCAACAGAACCGCTTTGTTGTAATCACTTCTGTCTTTTAAATGAAACATATCACACGGAAGGGACGATAACAGAGGCCGTATGTGCTAGGTTTAAGACATGGAGTGACATTTCTGCTTATTTGCACATGAGTTCAAAGTATGGCTACCTACCATGTTGAGTAAAGAGTATTACACATAGTGTGCAGATACAGACAGTGCATGTATGGGCTGTTCGGAAGTGAATTTGTATCTCACTTAATGCAAAATAAATATATGGCTCTACGAGTGGTTTCACTCCGAGCCCTCTGACATTTGTCTGTAAGAAGAACAGAGACAAGTTGTCTATGTCGAACTAGATCAAGTTGGGTAAGATGTTTTAATCCTGCTTACACTGCTGCTATTCTCTATCTGACAACTGCAGGCGTTCAGTTGTGCCTCTATCGCTCTTAAAGAATGTAATGAATCAATATTGAATATCTGTCGGCTGCCTCGCTGCATCTGCTCCGTCAGTTGTTACTTCCTTCACCCTCTGAAGAAACACAAGTTTCACAGCTCTGGTTTCCTTGCGCAACACTTCAGTAACATACAGCCACAGTATAGGAAACTTTTAAGTACATTTTGTGGCTGGGGAATCTGACCAGTTGAGATAAAGTGAGGAGCTGCAGGCTGTCAACGGATGTCATTGGCCTTCTTGTTTTCCTTCAAACTTGCTATTGTGGTTCAGCCAGTTCAAATCACGTGTTTCCATTATGATTGATTCTTCCCTAACCACAAATACACTAGCTGCTAAATAATGTATTGTTTTAAGGTATAGAGACAACAGCTGAAGGAAAATATATCATGTAACTCCTAGAGCTGCAACGATAAGTCGATTGACAGAAAAATAAACTGCAACTATTTTGATTAACCAATGATTTGATTCGTGCAAAAGTGGTAGTAAATGTAGTTTGAGCCTCTCAAATATGGAGAGATCTTGCTTTTTCAGTGTTCTATCATATGCAATGGTCTGTTCAAAATAAAAGATCCACTATTTTCTGATTTTTTGATACCAAAATATTAGTTAATTAACGTAAGAAAATTATCTGTTGATTAATTGATAATGAAAATAAAAGTAAGCAGTCCTAGAAGGTTCTTTATTCAATGGAACAAGATGCTTTACAACATCTGATCAATTTGGATATTGCTGAAATAGTACAACTTCGCTGGTCTTCTTTGGGTGTTGTCTCTCCTCCAGGTCAGAGAAACAGGTCATTTTTCTGTGAGAGGGTGCAGAACTTAAGTTCCCTCCGCAGCCAATAGGAGAGACCTTGAACCTTACATATATCCAGCGCAGTACGTGCCTACATGGTAATTCCAGTACGATACCCAAGAAATGCTGGTATGATGTTTTGTGTAATTCCAATGAACCACATAAGCTGCATTCACTAAAACAACCTTCCTTCCGTATAGCCTCCCAATAATAGTTTTCCTCTTCTGTTTGTATCCTCTTTGCATTGTGATGAAATACATTGTGAGCTAGATTTTCTGTAGTGGCCACATTTTAATAATAATAGGTTACATCTGTATAGCGCCTTTCAAAGGACCCAAGGCCGCTTTACATGGTGAACAAACAAAAAAACAAAAGGGGCAAAATAAGAAAGTAAAACATTAAATAAATAGCAGTAGGAGAGAAGCAGGGGGACTGTGATGGGTTAGGGGTCAAAGGCCATGGTGAAAAGGTGAGTTTTTAATGATGACTTGAAGAGGTCCATGGAAGCAGGCATTTTAGACAGGTTAGCATGCCTAAATGTATGAACTAGTGATTACTGTTGTCTCCGTGTTGGCCCATGTGTAACTTGCGGCCTTCATCTTTTCTCAAGGAGTTGCTGACTTATTTGTGAACCCTTGAGGGAAGTTGTATAGGGGCTCAAGACTCTGATAATGCTGTTTCAAAAGATGTTTGAACTCTGACATGAATCCAAGTGTGGTTGAACCTAGAAATACAACAATTAGTTGATAGACAAAAAGGATTCATCAACTATTTCGATAATCGATTGAACATTAAAGTAATTATTCATGCAGAAATGCCTGAAATGCGGAGTTTTTCAGTTTTACACCATATTAGACCGAATTTCTTGGGTTTTTGACTGAAAAAACATGACATATAGATACTTTCATGAACTGGGATATACGTTTGATTAATGAATCGAGAAAAAAGTCTTCAGCTTATGCGATGTGAATTTAATCAATTTGCAGCTCTTGTTGAAACACTAACTGCCTTTAAGAAAGGTTAACGTGACGTGATGATCATCATAGACATTTGTTAAAGGTGACCTGTCATGCAAAATGCACTTTTGTACGTCTTTTATACATGAATATGTGTCCCCGGTGTTCCAGGGAACTCACCAAGTGTCAGAAAACACAACCCTCTCTGTTTTCCTCCATACCCAAATATCTTAAAAAGGGGCTGCAACGGATCTGATACAGACAGATCCAGATTTGAACACTTCTGTGACGTCACAGAACTGGCGCTACGGCTATTGGGCCAAGTCCACCAATCAGGAGGAGACAGCCACGGACATTGCCGTTGGAAAGCGCTGGAGACGCTGTAGTACATATGCCAGGCCTGTAGATGGTGCTGTTCTCACAGAATCAGCCCATGCAAAGACAGTGTTAAATTGAGCGAAATGAGGAATGGCTAAAATGCATGATCTGTTTGGTATTTTGAAAAATAAAAGTATAAATATGCCTTATATAGGTATGGTCCTACACTATGTTATTCAAATATAGCATGATATGTCCACTTTAAGTTAGTGTATCTACTTATCTGTACTGCATATCATTGAAAAATGTTGTCTTGCAACCTTAAACCCAAATACCAGTATGGCGTGGTTGAGTTTCTGGATAGTGATTCAGAATGAACTGTAACTCCTTCATGCTTTTACCGGGAATGTACTTGAGTGCAAAACCAGAAGTATCTGAAAGTACAAGTTGGTGGCTTCAGAGGTCTTTCTGTTCATGTATCAGTCAGTGCAGCAGAGATGAGTCACCACTGCCTATTTTCATGACTGGCCCTTCAGCATGTCCAGCACCTGCACTTTAAATTAATTTCCCCACACACTGTTGACTCGGTGTACAGTTCTTATCTCTGCCTGACTGAACTGAGCTACGAACCCCAACATTTTGACTATTTTCCCACATTCTGAGTAAACAGGGAGGGGCTGGACAAACTGTGACTCTCCCTCTGGTATAACTCTGGGCTAAAGGTGGATCACGGTTCTGTTATAACGGTAAACTGAAAAGAACAGACATCATTGATACCAGAAAGTTGCAGCCCATTTTTTATAGCAGACACTGCTTTGCATACTTGAGCACTTTTGGGGACAGGTATGTCAGACGAGCATAACCGCCTACAGAAGTTGCAGATAAAACTCCCCTGCTGTGTATCTACACTTGCAATAAAACATTTTAATCAGGGAAAAACACACCAGTCATACCTGAGAAAAGTCACACCCCTTTATATTAGTTCTATATTGTTAAGTACAACCTTTAGACAATGTAGACGCAACAGTGTTGACCGGGCTGCATGTACTCTTGGTATGTGCCAACCAGGTGAAGAAAGTTATGGTTTCCCTTGTGATTTCACTTCCTCTTGTTGTTGAGGCTAAAACAATCTGTCCTTCTGTGTGCATAGCTTGTCTGGTCTGTGAGTAATCCTGCACATGTTGCACAACTGAAAACTCAGGGACTGTGCGTCTATGCCTGATTTAGGGATAAGTTAGGATTTTTTGTGTGAAATTGGGTACTTTCTGTCTCAGCTTCTTCTGTACGTTTCTACTTTAATGCAACTCAGAAAAGTTTTACAAAAATTCAGTCAGGCTAAAGATCATGAATTTAAAAGTTTGGTGGGTCAGCAAAAACATGGTATAAAAGCCAGTGCAATAGCAATAAAAATCAAACATGCAGTATTGTGTGCTGTACCAGATGATGTGAGCCAGTGTTTAATAAGTCCACTTTAGTGAATGGAAAGTTTGACATATAGAGACATATCTGATTCATTGGGGAAATTTGTTAAACAATTTTGGCGCTGCAACGACAAAAGTGTTTCCCTTACGTTAAGGTACTGATGTTAACAGACATTGTGGAAGTGGCAGTCTGACACCGTTATTATTTTTCTCCCTCAGGTCTTTGTAGTGTATCCGCACACTCTTGTCCTCCTACCTTCACCTCCGCTACCTTTGCCTCATTGACTGCTGTGCAACTCAGCCCTGCTGTCGTCTTTGGTTTCCCCCCGACTGCCGGAAAAACCATTGAGACAAGAGAGAGGCCTCTGTCTCTAGAACTGCAGTCGACCTTTCTGAGAGCTCTGCCACCCCCTCCTCCTCCTCATTTCACTTCATAACCATAACCTGCAGCTGCCTCACCACAAAAAACGGTTGGCGATTGCTCAGCAGAAGGATCGACCGTTGTCCACCGCCTGGCCCCGGACTGGTGCTCATTCATTGGGGGAGGGAGGGGAAGGAAGGCAGCTGAACGTTGTGCCGCTTTCCCCGGAGATGAAGCTCCAGGCTGTCATGGAGAACCTGCACCGGCAGCAGAGGGCCAAGCTGCTGATGGAGCAGCAGCAGCTACAGCAGCAAGCCGCCGCCCAACAGTCTCAAGTCCGCACCATCGTTGGAGGAGGGGACGAGCCGATGGGGAGCCCGGCCCCCGAGGCGGAGCAGGCCCAGATGGCGGCGCTGGCAGCCATGCGTGCCGCTGCCGCCGGGCTGCAGAGGGTCTCGGAAAGCCCCATGTCAGACCGCAGCAGCGGTGGCGAGGACGAAGATGATGACGATGACAATGAAGACCGGGAGGAGCATTATAAGGACATGATGGGGTCAGATGAGGAGGAGCAGATGTGAGTCAAGTTATTCTTAACATAATCTGCAGAGTTGCCTTTTTAAACAATATTCTGTTTTTAATGTATACAGCAAACGGAAATGGGACGAGGAAGACTTCGAAGGCGAGATGGAAGAAGACTTTGATGACGAACTGACGGAGGAGGGTCTGCCAACGGGCCATGAAGCTGTGGCTCCAGGCAAGGGAATCCTCCTGCTGCCGCACCGTCAGCTCCACCCTCACTCTCAGCTGCTGAAGGCCCGGCCCAGCGTCGACCAGGAGCCCCGGGTAGCCATCATGCCCCCCCACGCCACGCAAAGCCATCTGAGCGGACAAGACCACGGAGAGTGGACCTATGAGGAGCAGTTCAGACAGGTAGGATGTCTTCTTTATACGCCTCCTACTATTCGGATTGGGGTGCTGCTCTCATTTTAAGGGAAAATTGCTAAATTGTTGTTGCTAGTGGAGATTTAAAGTCAGCTGTTGAGAACCAGATCAGCTTATTCCCTAAAATATCCCTAAATCAGCCGCTGTAACACATTGAGAATCTACAATAATCCAATATGTTGTTTGTAGACCAGTGAGCCACATCTGGCCTTCACACCTCTCACATCATGTCACCTTTCCAGCTGAAGTAATCCGACCAGGGCGGGAAATTAACACCAGCCACCAGCCAAATGTTGATAAACCCTTAACTGAGCTTTTATACGTTTGTCTTTGCCACCTGACATTCTGGTGGGCTACATCTGTCCGGTTTTTGCCAGGGTGGCTTAGTGCCTCCAAAGACTTGACATTTACTGACTGCTGTTGCCAAAGGGTGAAATGAATAGGACTGCTCGCTGAGGCTGAGGAGCTGAGGGAAGTGGGGGAGGGGAGGGGAGGGGTTCGGGTGCATTTTAACAGCTTTACCATGCTGGCGTTTGCTGTAAACATGCTTGTGGGCTGGATATTATGAGGGAGGCCCTGGTGGAATAAGACAGGCTGTTTACATGAAGAGATTTAAGTCTGTCAACAGCTAGGTTAAGATGGAAGGAGGCTCGTGATAAAAAAGACTGTGAAACTAGTGAACGATATAAATAGTGAACTCACCATTCACTACAGAGGATTAAAAACTCAATCACTTGTTGAGATTACAGTAAATGTTGCTACTAAAAGAATAGATACAGGCCTTTGAGAAAAAAAATTACCTTTTCTGACTAAGTTTTTAACGTTTTAGCGATAGTAACATATTATTAAAATGTTCTTGATGGAATCAATGAATCAATTCAACCATTTCAACTTGCCCCTGCATTGCAAAACTAAAAAACTAAGGCTGCTTTACCGGGATTAAAGTGTGGCATAATACTGAGCATACCATTTCATGCAAAGGCAGTTTATATGACACAACAGAAGCCACTTTTAAATTTCAAACACACTCGTGGTCTGTAGCAATGTCTAAAGCCATAAAACATTTTCTGACCGAACAGCAGCTTGTCTTTTAGGTACCCCTACTCTTTTAGAAGATAAAACCAGTTTGGTATGTTTGGAGAAGATTCTAGAAATGTATATTGATGCCTTAAGGCTATGTTTGAGGTAAACAAGCTTAACCCCAACCATTTGCTTCATTTTTAAACCTAACCATTTATTCTGTAATTTAAGGCCCATTACTTGTAATGACAGAGTGTATGGAATAAAACTCCTCTAAAACCTAAACCTTCTCTAAATAGTCCACCACTCCCTCCGTAAAGCCTTGAATTGATACCCTCAACAGTTAGTGGTTTTCATACGTCAGGTACGCAATGCCCAACATTTTTATCATGGCATGTCAGTAAGTTGCTGACGGTTATATAATAAAGCCAGCCAGTATATTGGCTGTTAAGATAATGTTACCCAATCCATTGTTGATTAAAACTTTTGTCACGCCTATACAATGTCCCCATCTATAGGGAGACAGGGCGGAGGGGAAGAAACACACTATCTGCTGGCAATTAAAACCTTCTGCATTTTAACACGGTTTAGGGAATAAAGCAACAACAGTCACATCTGTTCGCAGCGAGTTGTGGCTCTCAACCTCCTCACTGCTGATGGTTTATAATGTTGTGAATCCAGGATTTTAGTCCATGACTCATTTGGCCCTTGTATGATTACGGTGATTAGTAACAATTGCAGCTTTAGCCTGTGATTATATTGCTCTGTGAATGTGCTGTGTAAAGGAAAAGCAGCCGACCTGTAATGACGAAGAAAGTCTGTCCGCTGATAATTCTAACCCAATGCAAATCAAACTCAGTAATTTCAGCTTTACTTTATATTTAGTGGGCGCCATTTTTCTTCTGCTTCTTCTTTTTCTATATGAAACTGGCTCTTGTGGTTTATTCTCATCATACAACAGTTAGATTATAGACCCACAGATTTGTCTGTTTCTTAAAACATGTTCAGTATAAACCGAAGCGGTTAAGAAATGTTAAATGTTGACATTATCTTGTAATATTTGTAATAGTGGCGAGTCATACCAAACCAAACCAAAATCTCACAAGTTACTTCATCTGCATGCAATAAAACGTCCCGCCGCCTGAAACCTCACCGAATAATTCAATATGATGCAGCTGTCAAAGATTTCCTGCATTGCAAATTTGCGATTTGCGACAAGCTCTGAAACCGACTTAAGTTAATACTTTACTCTGTGCCATGTTAGACAATTGCTACCCAAGACCCTCCTGCAACTATTCTATAAAATGTCGCTCTGCTTACTTAATTAACATTAACGTTGAGTGTCACACCGCTGTAGTTGAGGCAGATTTGCAACAGCAGATTACAGTTAAACTGAAATGAGCATAACACTTTTTAGCCTTATAAACTGAATTCTAATCAAACTGCTATAAATGCAGCGTCCCTAATTTACAAACAGAGGAAAACATTTGTTCAAAATGATTGGAAGCGCAAACAAGAGATGTGTGGTTATTCTGAGGAACACAGTAGTTTTTCTTTTAATGATTGTTTGTTCTGTCCACATGAACTTCAAAAGTCCCTAAGAATCATGGGAGAAAGTCATGATCTCCAGCCTTATGAACTACTCTCATGTGTTGTTGAGTTGAATGGTGTGCAGATGCCGTGTTTCGGAGGGGCACACTGGGTGGGGAGGAAGGGGTTAAGGCTGTATAGTTTATTTTGGGCAGGTGGGTGGAGGCTGTTGGAATGTGCCTGAGGGAGGGTGATAATGTGGCCACTGGGAACCCCAGATCCTCAGTAGAAACCCTGCGTGCCTCTTATCAGTCGGCAGCAGTTGGAGATCTTCCAAGCGGAGAACTGTCCTTTCTCTGTGTTGCATTTAAAGTCACGTCCTTTGTGAGGTCCCAATGTCACATACAGTTTCTCTACGAGCATCACTATAGCAATGCTTCAGGAGCCAGTCCAAGGTCCTCGTTAGAAGGTGTTAGGAAATAAATGGAGAGAGGAGAGGGAATAGAAAAGAGAGATTCCTCACATGGGGAAGATGTCATTTAGAAAGTAAAGAAAACATATTTTAACTAATGTCCTAATGTAATAAATCAATTTAAGAAGTCCAGTAAAGAAAGTCTGGCAAATGAGTCCAAAGAAATAGGTTGAATGTCACAGCACATCTAGATCCAAGGTGCCATGTAGGTAAGTGAAGCAATCAAATAAATGCTATGGTGAGGTTGCCCCCAGGCTGTGTGAGGCTAACATTTATCAGCCGAAGCCCGACCTGCATTCCTGTTGGATCAGCCGTCCACCTGCCTATCTGCCCACTCTGAAAGGTCAGACTATATCAAGGCAGCGGTGTCAGGGTGCAGAAGAATTACTTAAAGGACAAGGATTCATGCAGATATCAAATTATGCCAGCATCGTTGGATCATTTTGTAATTGAAACGACAGCTCAGCTGAGTTATTTCAGGGATACCTCAGCAGCCCATATCAGTATCACTCTTTGGAATTTAACTTTTAATTTCCAGGAAATATTAACACCCTTTTCAATTTAATGGTATATTTGCTTTCCAACAGCCAATAGGCTTGCAGGCATCTGTTCCAATCAGCAACCAACCGAATGAGGGAAAGGTTTGACTGTGGTTACTGTGTCACATAGGTCACATAGGTTATATTTAAATGTTCTTTAGATTAAGTGCTGATATAAGTACAAAATTGGGATTTTGATTTAAAAATAAATATTGTTTCTCTCTCAGTTTTAATAGGAGCAGTTTTCTTCAGTAAAACATTACATTGAGATATGTGGTTTATCCAGAATAATGAACTCATTGCTTTGAGAAGTTGTTCTTGCAATTTGCAATTTTCCTCGCTTTACCTCAAGCAAAACCCTTTTAATTCCATCATGTTTGGATGGCAATTGGAAAAGAAGTCTATCGCCTATTATTTGAGAGTTATCCTGTTTTGAACAAACACTCAATGTTTATGCTATTTGTGGTAGGAAAATGGCATGTGAGCACAGGAGAAGCTCAGAGTTTACAGCCATGATCAACTATGATGGAAGAACACGGAATGATAAATTAGCTAGATAATGTGTAGTCAATGCTATGGTATACATAATATAACAGACCCACTCCCTGTCCCCCTTTTATAAACAATATCCTCCTCAGGCCAGAATTCGTCCAAAGGCCATGCAGAGCCTTTGAAGTCTCCTCTCCTGTGTCTCTATCTGCTTTAAACACCAGCAGCTGGGCAGATGGAGCCCAGATGGACAGTAAAGTAGGGATGTCTTTAAAAATTCATGGCACTCACCATGATCAGGGCGAATGGAGGGGAGTATGCATTAAACATTAAATTGCTTACACACACACACATAGACACACACACACATTGTGAGTGGGGGCAGGAACTGTTACTACAGGAAGTGTAGCTCGAATGAGAGCCAATTGGGAGCGACACTTATTGGGATTGCCCGTCAGGTTTCTGCTGATACAGCTGTCTGATAAGTGTTGTTGGTTTTATATCCCTCAGTTTTTTTCTCCAGGCCTTTGATCTGTCTTTGGGTTGTATGAATAGGATGGACCGTGTTGTTTTTATATTCAATATGAATGTATATTTTCCCAGCCGTAGATTTGTTTAGTGAAAAAACACTGGAAAGATGAAACTGAAAGCCGCTTTCAAATACAAATATTTACATTTGTCTGTAAATGAATTGCTAACGTCAAAAAATGTTTTATAATTGTAAAATATATGTCTTTGCACAACTTGGTAATAACTCAAGCAACATTTTATAAATAAAGCAGGTTTTTTTCCAATCCATCCACTTGGAATTAACCAGTTATTTCTGAGTATATTAACTCCAGAGCAACACACTATTTGATCATCTGGAACCAGTTTTCCTTACTGGAGTCTGCAGGGGTTGAATTAATCTGCACTAGGGAGTTTTCATTTAATTGACT